GAACGAACTGGGTGGGGGGGAGTTTGGGCAGGGGCAAAAGTGCAACAATGAATGAATGGAAATCTAAAGTCTCGGTAAACTTTCATTCAAATTAATAAATAAAAAATAATAAAGTGCTCCATTTCTTGGAAAGATGGAGTGTCATCAAAGGAGAGGAAGACTCCCACTGAAATGGACTGACATGGTGACTTCAGTACAAGGGCTCCAGTGTGCTGGAGATGATGAGGATGGCACAAGGCAGGGGAGAGCTCAAGTCAGCTGTCCGTAGGGTTGTTATGAGTTGTACTCAACTCAACAGCACCTAACAACAACAACAATGGCACTAAAAGTCCTTGTTCATTTTATAACTCATTTGCTCCTTACCTAGTTCTAAATTCTTTTTTTTTTTTTTTTTTTGGATGGTGGTTTTTTTTTTGTTTGTTTGTTTTTTTGTTATAAACTACTGAAGCTATAGTAGAATTCATCTACCTCACCCACCACTGTGGCAGAACTTCACCCACCCTTATTCCTTTTTACCTAAATCAGCTGTGGTTTGGAAAAACAGCAGAAAGAAATAAATGATGTTATATCCATATATAAAAACATGATGAATGAATTTCTGTTCTCTCTTTGGGAGACATGAGATAACTCCCTTCTTGGGAGTTCTGACTCCTCCTTAAGACAGATATTCTGACAGATTTAAAAAAACAAAACAAAAAACAAAACAAAAAAAAACCACACCAACCCCCTATTTTCCATATACTTCATAGTTCAGTGAAACTAAACCAGTATAATCCTCAGTGAAGAAAGAAATGCACACAAGAATAGCAGTATTTTAAGTTCTCAAAGGAATGTCAGTGCTGGAAGCTAATCAAAAGAACTGGAAGAATTTAAAAATGGAGCAGTATCTAAAAGTCAATGTCAGCAAAACCGTCTCTCCTTCCCCAAAGCTTCAATGCTCTGCACCATTCCCCCCCACCTCACCCCCAATTCAACATTCCTAGGACTGGATATATGATGTAAAATGGAACAACTTTTGAGATTTGTTAAGAGCTATAAATGACACATGACGGCAATACAGTGAGGTAGGCAGTGGTGTCTCCATTATCCATCATCTAGGAATTTGGCATTCTCAAGTGCTCTGAATGACAGGGCGGTCAGAAGGTTGTTGCTGTTGTTATGTGCTGTCAAGCTGACCTGCTTGCAACTCATAGTGACCCTGTGTACACAGCTCTGAACCCAGCTTTATCCTGTGCCAAACTTATTGTCTCTGACACATCTACTCCCATTACCCCTTTCCCCCTCCCTGTCCGTCCACCCTCCCAAGCATGACCTCCCTCTCCAAGGACTGGTCCCTCCTTGCAACATGCCCGAAGTAGGTCAGATGAAGCCTCAGAATCCTTGCTCCAAGGAGCAGCCTGGTCTCACCCTCTACAGGACGAACCTGTTTGTTCTCCTAACAGTCCATGGTATATTCAATACTCTTCTCCAACACCAGAGTTCAAAGGCACCAATTCTCCTTCTAACATCCTTAATAATTGTCCAGTTTTCTGATGCATAGCAAGTGATTGCAAAGACCATGGCCTGGATCAGGCACACTTTAGTCTCCAGACTGACAATGTTGCTCTTCAGGTCTCTGGAGAATTTCCAGACAGCAGACTTTCCCAATGCAATTCAAAACAAGAAAACACTGTATGGTTCAAAATTGAAAAAGGGGTCCATCAGGGATGTGTCCTATCTCCATACCTTTTCAATCTGTATGCAGAACTGGTCATCTGGGAGGCTGGGCTCTCTAAGGAGGAATGTGGCATCAGGATTAGAGGAAGACTAATCAACAACTTGCATTACGCAAATGATATAACCTTGCTTGCTGAAAGGACCTGAGGCATTTGCTGCAGAAGGTCAAGGACTGTAGCCTTCAATATGGCTTGAAGCTCAACATCAAGAAAACAAAGATTCTTATCACTGGGCTGAATGGCAGCATAATGATAGTGAAGAGATTGAGATTGTTGTCAGCTTCAATTTGCTTGGGTCTATAATCAACACTCTTGGTACCAGCAGCCAGGAAATCAGAAGTTTACAAAGATTTTTTTTTAAAAAACCAAATCCAAACCCACAGATACACATTTATAAACACCTGCAACAGTGGCAAATGTCCAATGGTGTCAATTATCAGAAGATTTTCTAAATGACATTACTTCATGGCAGAGGGGAGTGTGGTGATCAAAAAAGATGTTAGAGCCCACAATTTCCAGAAGTCTAGATTCTGCTCTAGTAGAATTGATCTAAAAGTATTATTTCACAAATGCTTGTGTCTTTAATTTCACAGTACAATGAGTTAACAGAACATACATAGAACAGTGTTATTAATAAAGATAATCAAGTCATGAGCAATGCTGCAAATACAGGGTATGTCTGGTAAACTGCTGGAAAGAAAATAAGTAGAGATTGTTATAATGATCACGGTTTGATTTAGAGGAAAGAGAATTTTAGGTAAGTCTGGCTTATCTATGTGTAAATGTTAAATTTGCACAAGTTAATGATGGTAAGGAGCTGTGCTACCAACCCAAAAGCAGGTGGTTCAAAGCCATCAGTTGCTCTGCAGAAGATGGGCAATCTCCCGTGCCAATTTACAACCTATGAAAACTTGCTGGAGAGTCAGCTATGAGACAGTTCTGTTTCAATGACAGAGTTTGTGTTTGTTTGTTTTTTAAAGAAAGAGGTAAATGACAATTCTGTAAGTAAACAAGTATCAGGGAAGCGCAAAGATTTGGTCCAGAGTTAGATCAGTATCTTTACTGTACCACAGAGCAACTGAGATCAATGATGACCGTGAATCATTGGGAAAAAAACCCCTCAATTCTTTATGGCATGACTTTGTGAAATCATTCTTCCTTTATACTTGGGGGCCCCTGAAATGCTAATCCAGAAAAACAACTATGAGATATCATCTCACCCCAATAACAATAGCAAAGTTCAACAGAGCAGCAAACATCAAATGCTGGCGAGGTTATAGAGAAACTGGAACCCTTATTCACTGTTGGTGGGAGTGTAGAATGGTGCAACCACTCTGGAAGGCAGTATATGGTGCTTTTTCAAAAAGGTGAAAATAGAAATATCATTTGACCCAGCAGTCGCACTAATGGGAACATACCCTAAAGAAACCAGAACTGCCACCCAAGCAGATATACTGACACCCATGTTTACTGTTCTGTTGTTCACAATAGAAAAGAGATGGAACCAACCCAACTGACCATTAACAAATGAATGGATTGAGATGTTGTGGTATATCCACACAATGGAATACTACACAGCAATGAAAAACAAGGAACTCATAAAATATTATACAAAACAGATAATCCTGGAGGACATTATGCTGAGTGAAAGATCTGTCACACAAGGACAAATACTGCATAATGCCACTGTTATAAAATAGGACTGATGCTGGGGGATCGGGGAAACTAAGAAAGGAGAGGGTAAATAATGAAAAGTGCAAACTGGTGAGGGAAAAAAATTGTTTAAAAGGAATATATATATAATTAGGTATTATTTGCATGGCAAAAGTCCAGAGTAAGAGGTGCACAGCAAAGGACTGGGGTAGGGGAGAGGGAGGAAATTGTGCAACAATAAACAAAATTTTTAAAGAGAAAAGTGAACTGGGCGGGGGGGGGGAGAGAGAGAAAAATGTGCAACAATGAATGAATGGAAATCCATGTTTTCTGTAAACTGACATTAAAATTACAATAAAAAATTATATTAAAAAATGCTAATCCAATATGCTTAAGCAGATCCCTCACACACACAATAACAAAAAAATTCTTGTCTGTTATCAAAGACAACAGCAGGGAATCAAAATTTCAATAGCATAAAAATTCTCTAAGAGCAAGGATTTTATATTTATATTTATGATCATTTCCATAAAACAATGCCTCCAAAACCAAGCCCACTGCTCTCCAGCAGATACTGACTTGGGCACCCTGTGGTGACCAGTGGGATAGAGCAGAGCAGCCCCACGTGTTGTCAAGGCTGTATGTAATTTTTACCCAAGCACAGTGCCACCTCTTTCTCCTGCAGTACAGATGATGAGTTCAAACTACTGATCATTCAGTCAGCACCGAGCGCTGTAACTTTAGTACTATTAGGGCTGTTTCAGCACGTGACACGTAACCGAGAAATATTTACTGAATGAACAGGTGCCTAATTTATGACCATTTCTTCCAAGAACGATTCAAAAGCTGTTTGTTCTTTGAACATGTTGATATATCACAAAGGTTTAACATGTATATATTAACATGTCTGTGAGCAAAGAAGTAATGAATTTAGTTACAATGAGGTTTAAACTACTAGCTTTTTGATATCTGGGAATTATACTTGCTAGGAGCTTATTAGGGGGCACATGTGGCTTGGTGGTAAGGAACTGTGTTGCCAATCCAAAGGTATGAGCTTCGAATCCACCAACTGCCTCCGGGAGAAAGATGGGCAGTCTCCCCCTCTGTGATCTGCTACCTTTGAAAACTCGCTGGAGGGTCAGCTGCGGGTTAGCTCCAACTCAATGATACACAACAACAACAAGAGGACATTACTAGGGAGCTCTGGTGGCCGACTGGTGAGGAATTGTGCTTTCGAGTCAGAGGCACATGCTGGAAAGCCATCAACTGCTGTGCAGAAGAAGGCAGGCAATCTTCTGTGCAATTTACAGCCTCTGAAAACCAGCTGGAGGGTCAGCTATGAGTCGGCTCTGACTTGACAGTCTGTGATAAGAAGAAGGACGTTCCCCACCTAACAGCCATCCTGTAGAAATGTTAACCACTACAACAGAAAAGGTTCATACAGAGAGACATTCAGATACAACATGGAAGGTCAAGCTCTAGTTCAACATCACCTTGTGCTTCCTGAGAAAGGCCTCTCTAAGAAAATACAAGCCAGGACCAAGACGATAAGATAAAATAAACAAAATAAAATTACTCTTCTGTTTCCCATTGCCCTCAACTAACTATAGAAGCGATGGCATCTTGCATTACCTGGTGTCGGGCTCGACTCTGGTCCAGAAGCTGCCGGGATTGAAGTTTCTGTTGTTCCAGTTGCTGCAGTGCAAAATGGAGTTGGTAGCTGCCTGAAGTGGGGTGATACTTGTGCTGAGGGACCACCCCGGTTGCCTTGCTATATGCGTTGTTCTCCAACTCTCCCTCCCAGGCAAAGCTCCCTGTCTGCAGGCTCCTGAAGAGAAAAGAAAACAGACTTTTAGCGTGGCTGTGAAGACAAGCTGAAGGAGTGAAATTTCTCAGGTCTTTTTTTCCTTTACAGAGAACTAAACACTCTTTGGAATGAAGAACCTATTTGCATGAAAAATGCTGACTCCCCTCCTAAATTGGAAGCTCCTCAGTAAAAAGAAAGGGTCTCCTTTGGTTTGTCCCCAGTTTCTGACACTTACAACAAGCCCTGGCACTGTGGTCAGTATACCACAAATACTTGCTGAATGTTAAATACTGAAATAGCAGCCTCACTTTCCTGTGATTTACACAGGGTTTCCCAAGAGGAGCCCAAAGAGCTTCAAATGAGGGGATGATAATAAGTTAATTCCAGGTACAAAAAGAGACTCAATCCTTTTCTCTAACATCAACTTTGAAAGGACAGCATTCTTGTCTTAAAAATGTCTTATTCAAGAAAAATTATTTTTTAGATGACGTATCCACTTGTGTTTGCAGAAGCTATTTACAGCTGAGCTCAGGTTCCTATCACAGCCTCACGGGATAACATAACTGGTATGAGGAGACAATCCCTTTCATTACCCTACATTTACCTCAACAGAGCGAGATTCAGTCGTATGTAGGAGAAAGGCAAAAGGCCAGTGACTGTTTTGACTGGTAAGTCTATGCATTTGTTAAATATTCTGACAATCTTTACAGCTCAAGTTTTTAAATTTTGGGTTTCAGTGATCACGTGTATGTATATCTGAGTCAAAATTTTTATGACTACAGTCTTCTCAGTCCACTTTTCTCCCTCCACTAGAAAAGTACCCCTATTCCCCCCAACCTTTTTTTAAAACACACACACACACACACACACCCAGTAATCTTATTTGGCAGTACTTCCATTTCCTTAACATTTTTCAGTAACCTTTGGTTAGGTGTCAAAGACCTGGCCATTAAGTGAAAATTGGCATTAATCAAAACCAGAGGATGATCATATCAAATTACAAAATGAAGGGTTACTACATCATTATTCAACTACCAAACATCAGAGAGTTACGGTGCAGCCAAGTTCACACATAACCTAACTTCACAGCCAGCATACTGCTATTCGTTACAGCTAGATGTGCATCATTAATGCATCAAAGTATACAGACTTTTAAAAACTGTTGTTTTAAATATGAAATGTTAGATAACGAGATAGTCATTAAGTGAAGAGGAGTAGGTATATTCTCTGGACTTTACCACGTGGGTTTGTTTAACTGCGGTCGCCAGAAAAACTTTACAATGAAGAAACTTTATGAAGTCCGTCATAGTGTATGTACAACTTTACCCCAAACCCTCATTAATGGGCCTCAGACAGAAGAAACAACATCTAATATAAAAGAAGCAGTTCCAATGATGTAAGTCTGTGGGCTATGTGGCTTTCCCATATAAATTTCCTTTGAGTGACTGGTCCTATCAAAAGCAGAGAGGCAACAGCATGGGGTGGACATTATGCAGACCCTTCTGAGTCCCCTTTCAGCTGCAAGCCACCTGGCTATTTGGAACCTGAGTCTGGCTGACTCCAACACAACACTATGACATGGAGCAGAAGGCCACATGCCTCTCTTACCTGTGCCCCTCACAGCTTGGTGACTTCAGGTCTCTGCTTTGCTCTCTCTCCAAAGAGATTTCCAAATATCTAGTTAAAGGTAATTCTGTGAAATGTATTCTGAAATCCATGGATAAAAGGTTCTCTCCTCACATAATCTCACCTTTGATATGTCCCAGCCCATGTTCGTCTACCCCCAAAGCTTGGCTTCCACAGCTCAGTTGCATAATTATACACTTGGAGCTAATCTTGGAGAACCATACCCAAAAGCCCAGAGCTTATTTATGAATTCTTTTGAATATGACATTTGATCTTAAGTGATCCTTCTTGAAACTTCTCAATGTGCATACTGTTAAAAAGAAAGGCCCTTTCCCAAGGGGCCTTCGGAGATATGGAGAATGTAGCAATATGAATAAGTACCTAATTGCATTCCTAAAATGTTAACATTATTCATAAGACGAAGTGATTTACATGGTTAAGAAAGGATAAGCCAGAGGAACCTGTTATCTCTGTTCTCATTAGTGAAAGAAGAGCAAGGCCTCGTGAAGATTATGGGCAAGAAACCCACAGAATTGTTAAAGGGATTCAGTGAACTGGGAGTGGAAGAAGAGGGAAAAGAGAAGGGTATCCAGGTATAAACAAACAGAAAGGTCAAGGCAGGAGTACCCTGATTCAATGAACAAACAAACACTGAGGAGAGGAGAGGTGAATAAGTAAGAACTGAACAGTCTCGAGATTGCCACATCCCCTGGGTCACGTCCTGCTTTAAATCTAGAATGAAACTATTGAATACTGTTAAGATAATTGTACCAAATGCCAGGAAATGCACCATCTATAATTTTCTGGCCACTTTTCATCTGCTGATTGTGGAAGAACCAGTCTAGATTTAGTGAGTGGATATTAGAAGACTTATGTAACTGTGTAGATTAACTATGCTGTTGCTGCTAGGTGCCGCTGAGTCGAGTACAACTCATAGTGACCCTATGAACAAAATATCTGAAGCCTGTTCTATCCTACGCCATCCTCACACTTCCTGACACACAGGAGCTCATGGGAGCAGCCACCCTGTCAATCCACCTGGCTGAGGGTCTTCCTCTCCATTGCCGTCCCTCCACTCTTCCCAGCATCACATCCTTCTCCAGGGAATAGCCCCTTCTAGCAACATGTTCAAAGTATGCAAGGCAAAGCCTAATCATTCTTGTCTCCAAAGAGCACTCAGTCCTCTTCTTCAACACCACAGCTCAAAAGGGTCACTTCCTTTTCTGTCACCCTTATTCACTGTCCAGCTCTTGGATGCAGAGCTAGTAATCAGAAAGACTGTGGCTGAACCAGATGTACCTTAGTCTTCAAACTGATATCACTACTCCTCAATACTTTGGAAAGGTCTCTAACAGCAGATTTCCCCATGGCAATGCATATCCTTATTTCCTGACTGCTGGTACCAAGGGAGTTAATTGTGGATCCAAGCCAGATGAAGCTGTTGACAATTTCAATCTCTCCATCCACCTACCACTGCCTATTGGTCCACTGGCAAGAATCTCTGCTTTTTTGACGATGAGATGCAATCCACACCGAAGGCTACATTCCTTGATCTTCTACAACAAGTGTTTCAAGCTCTCCTCACCTTCAGCAAGCAAGGTTGTGTCATCTGCATAAGGCAGGTTACTGATGATTCTCTCTCCAATCCTGATGCCACACCGCTCTTCATAGAGTCCAGCTTCTTGGATAATTTGCTCAGCATACAGACTGAATACACATGGAGAGAGACTACAACCCTGGCCAATTCCTTTACAAATTACAAACCATGCAGTTCTCCTCTTCTCTGTTCACACAATGCCTCCTGCTCCAGGTATAGGTTCCTCATGAGCACAATCAAGTGCTCTGGGATTCCCATTCTTCTCAGTGTCAGCCACAACTTGTCATGATCCACACAGTCAAATGCCTTTGCATAGACAATAAAACAAAGATAGACAAACTTTGGGGTATTCTTTACTTTCAGCTAGGATCCATCTGACATCAGCAATGAGATCCCTGGTGCCATGGCCTCTTCTAAATCATGCTTGAACTTCTGGCAGTTCCTTATCTCTGTACTGTTCCAGCCATTTCGGAATGATCCTCAGCAGTGTTTTTGCTTGCATATAATATCAATGATATTGTTCAATAATGTCCACATTCAGTTGGATCACCTTTCTTGGTAACAGGAACAAATATGGACATCTTTCAATCCGTTGACTAGACAGCTGTCCTCCAAATTTCCTGGCACAGCCTGGTGAGTGTACTCAAGGCTGCATCTGTGAAACAAGTTAATTGGAATCCCATCGATTCCTGGCCATTATTTTTTGCCAATGCCTTCAATACAGCTTCTACTTCCTCCTTCACTACTATTGGCTCCTGTTCATATGGTACTTTATGAAATTCTTCAGTGTCAATCAATTCTTTCTGGTACAGTGACTCTGTGTATTTCTTCCATCTTATTTTGATGCTTTCTGAGTCATTCAATATATTGCCCATAACATCTTTCAACATTGCAACACAAGGTTTAAATTTGTTTTTCAGTACTTTCAGCTTAAGAAATGCAGAGTGAGTTCTTCCCTTTTTATTCTCCAGTTCCAGCTCTCTGCACATTCCATTATAATATTTGCTTTGTCCTCCTGAGCTGCCCTTTGCAATCACCTTTTCAGCTCTTTCACTTTGACTTGTTTTCCTTTAGTTTTGGCTTCTCGACACCCTAGTGCAACCTTTAGAATCTCTTCTGACATCCCTTTCAGTTTTTTCTTTTTCTTCTGTTTTTGTAATAACCTTCTGCTTTCTTCATGGATGATATCCTTGATATCATCCTACAACTCATCCGGTCTGCGATCATTGGTGTTCAATGCTTTAAACCTATTCTCAAGATGATCTTGAAATTCAGATGGAATTGATTCAAGATCTTATCTCGATTCCTATGGACTTATTTTCATTTTCTTCAGCTTCAATTTGAACTTGCATATAAGTAATTGATGATATGAATCACAGTCTGCGCCTGGCCTAGTTTTGACTGCCAATATTGAGCTTCTCCAACAATTTCTTCCATCAATGTAGCCAGTCTGATTCCTATGCAGCCCATCAGGTGAGATCCACATGTAAACTTGTCCTTTGTGCCTTTTAGAAAACATATTTGTAATGAATAAATAATTGCAAATATGAAATTCAAACATTCTATTTCCAGCTTCATTTCTATTGCCAAGCCCGTATTTCCCAACTACTGTTCCTTCTTCACTGGGTCCAGATGTAGGAGCATAATTGAATCATATTTGTGTTAAAAGATCTTCCTTGGATGTGTATGGATATTATCCTATTACTCACAACATTGAATTTCAGGATGGAACTTGAAATTGATGTTCTGACTATGAATGCAACACAATTCCTGGTTAATTCCTTCACTGGCTGAGAAT